CTTTTATCTGATGTCTTTTAATATGGATATCGTGGGATTTAGCCAAGACGTGTTTTCACTCAGCCCAAAATTATGTCACTATATTTTTTTCATTTTTGTCTAGTCTTTAATCACACTGTTGTGTGCTGATGAAGACCTTGGGTCGAAACGTCCATTGTACCTGTAATTGTCTTAAATGTGTGAGGATACTAACACTACCCATTTCATTACAATTAGTGAGGGGTAATAATTTTGCTATTTGTGGTTATAGAGTACAAACGCATCCTTCAAAACACGATTCGGCTGTTTGTGGTACATATTTCAGTGGGTAATTAGTTTTTTTTGTTAATAAGATAATCAATCGGATGTTGATGGCAATTAGAGATATTAGAAGACACAGCAGACGGCGCCAGTGTGAGCAAGGTTGATGTACACCGGCAGAAATAACTCTCCCACCCCCCGCTCACTGCTGCCGTCGTTTGGTTCCATTCTCCGGTCACGTGATCCAGGCTACCGTCTGCACATTCCATCTCGCCGCTATCTCAGGCATCCGCCGTCTGATCCAGGTCGTGATGGGAGTCGAGATGCGCGCGCAATCGGAAGAAGCATCTCCACCACGCGGCTGTCATCTTGGTATCGTCTGCTGGTGGGTTTCAAGGTCGGGGCTCGCTTTCATAGTCACGTGATGATACCACAGTGGTGGTAGGGGGCCGGTACTGAGTCTAACTGATGGTACTCACACGCACTCAATACTGCTGGTACTTACCTCTACTTATGGTATTTACCTCACTACTGATGGTACTTACCTCTACTGATGGTACTAACCTCAGTACTGATGGTACTTACCTCTACTGATGGTACTTACCTCTACTGATGGTACTTACCTCTACTGATGGTACTTACCTCACTACCGATGGTACTTACCTCACTACCGATGGTACTTACCTCACTACCGATGGTACTTACCTCACTACCGATGGTACTTACCTCACTACCGATGGTACTTACCTCACTACCGATGGTACTTACCTCACTACCGATGGTACTTACCTCACTACTGATGGTACTTACCTCACTACCGATGGTACTTACCTCACTACCGATGGTACTTACCTCACTACCGATGGTACTTACATCACTACTGATGGTACTTACCTCACTACCGATGGTACTTACCTCACTACCGATGGTACTTACCTCACTACCGATGGTACTTACCTCACTACCGATGGTACTTACCTCACTACCGATGGTACTTACCTCACTACCGATGGTACTTACATCACTACTGATGGTACTTACCTCACTACTGATGGTACTTACCTCACTACTGATGGTACTTACATCACTACTGATGGTACTTACCTCAGTACTGATGGTACTTACCTCAGTACTGATGGTACTTACCTCACTACTGATGGTACTCATACTTCACTGAGTACACTTTACTGGCGTCAAATTGAATTCTTGACGATTCCGTCACGCACTACTTGATTAGATAATTCAATTTTCAGGAGAAGATAACTTGGACATTATGAGAAGATAACTCTGAAAGATTACGTAGGAAACGGTGTCATTAATTTAAACCAGCTGTTTCTATACTTCTGGCATTTGTCTCATTATACAAACCAAGAGAAACTTGTAGAGCTGGGGACATTTTTTATGTGCCTTTACTAATGATGTACACGTCAAAATTTGTCGAGAAATTTTGTTCACGAATGAAATATTAGAGACGTGTTTGTTTTAAATGAATTACCGAATTGCAATTTTTAATGTAACATCCGGGCTTCACGTGAGTTGTGTGATTTGATGTTAAATAACGGACGAGATTTATAACTTACATGTTGGATTTTTTAAATACAGTGGACGTTTTCACCCATTGTCTTGGTTGTGTGTGAGTAAATTGTATTAGATTACACTCAGCTCAATGCAGGTTAGACTTTCATCTCTGTTAGAACACATCACATTTTTAGTCAGGTAGCCAGTCATAAACTAAGGTAGCCAGTCTAAGGTCAGGTAGCCAGTCATAAACTAAGGTAGCCAGTCATAAACTAAGGTAGCCAGTCATAAACTAAGGTAGCCAGTCATAAGCTAATGTCAGGTAGCCAGTCATAAACTAAGGTAGCCAGTCATAAGCTAAGGTAGCCAGTCATAAACTAAGGTAGCCAGTCGTAAAATAATGTCATGCGGGCATTCATAAGCTAAGGTCAGATAGCCAGTCATGAGCAAAGGCACATTACGCTACTTAACCTCCCCCACCCTCCCCCCCCCCCCCCCCCATGACATAACCCCCCCCCCCCCCCCCGTATAAGCGAGTTTATCAAGTACTTTATATCAGGTGAGGGGAGTTGGCTGTTTTGTGTTGACCAGCCACCACAGAAAAGTCACGTGCGATGGTGTATGAGTTGCAGCTTTCCTTTTTCTTTTTCTTCTCTCGTAAAGTTTTCTTGAGACTGTTTTCATACCGTCAGATAAAATACCTCTCTTTTAAAATAGTATGTTTTTAAAACGTCATATAAAATACACCTCTCTTAAAATATTGTTTTCAACCCGTCATATAAATTACACGTCCGGTAAAAAAACGGTTGTGTACCTGCCGACCCCTAGGACGTTTTGATCTGACTCGTGTCCCAGCCTCTATCATCACCAGCCTCCACCATCACCAGCCTCCATTATCATCACCAGCCTCCACCATCACCAGCCTCCAAAATCACCAGCCTCCATCATCATCACCATCCTCCATCATCACCAGCCTCCACCATCATCACCAGCCTCCATCATCACCAGCCTCCATCATCACCAGCCTCCACCATCACCAGCCTCCATTATCATCACCAGCCTCCACCATCACCAGCCTCCAAAATCACCAGCCTCCATCATCATCACCATCCTCCATCATCACCAGCCTCCACCATCACCAGCCTCCATCATCATCACCAGCCTCCACCATCACCAGCCTCCACCATCACCAGCCTCCATCATCACCAGCCCCCATCATCATCACCATCCTCCATCATCACCAGGCTCGCATTATTTTTTAATTGTCTTTAGGTCATCAGGAATAAAATATCCCGGGTGTTCGGTAACTTCCGTTTGATAACGATCTTAATGTGAGGCCGTTAACCCCCCTCCCACCCCCACCCCCACCGGGTAACGGATCATTAACCCTGCAGGCTTGACTGATCTGCTCTCCCGACTAGATCAAGCATGCCCAGCGACATGTACCACTAACCAAACAGCAGCAGACTTGAATTGTTGGACTCCAACAACGACCAGTGTGTTCTAATTATCCTCGATCAAAGAAAATTATTTAAAGGCTCATTATTTTGTTCATTTTATCTTTTAGTTCAAGCAAGTTGAGAATACTTGATGCCATATACACGGAGCTAAGTCTTGAAGCTTGGAGCTTAGTCTTTAGTTCAGGCTTGGAGCTAAGTCTTCAGTTCAAGCATGGAGCTAAGTCTTGAAGCTTGGAGCTTAGTCTTTAGTTCAAGCAAGTTGAGAATACTTGATGCCATATACACGGAGCTAGTCTTGGAGCTTGGAGCTAAGTCTTCAGTTCAAGTTTGGATTAACATGCAGCTGAAAGATATTACCAAGTTTGGAGCTATAGCTCTAACACACACTGAGATAACTCTTCCTGGAGCGTTGAGCTGTTGTAAACAGTTGTGGGCCCTAAATTAGGTGCCAGTATTAGCTCACTTTAATAAACCAAAAAATGCCACAAAGCTTGTGTTACTCTCTCATGTAACCTATTTGACAATACGACTCATTGCCTTTGATCTAGAAATATATTCCTACAATTTCAAATTACTTCTCACTCGTCTTTTAAGAAATGCTTTCTTGAAGTCAACATTTCTTGCATTTAGTCATTCCCTTGGTTACGAAGAAAATGTGTTCACCACGCCAACGATTCACGAAAGTTCTCCAGTTCTACGGACAACTATTAAAATGTCTGCAGGCGCCAATGTGTTTGTCTGTTTATGTTCCTTGAAATCAGAATTTTTATCCCGTGCCAGATCTAGAAGATTCCTTGTGGACAATACGTGAGGTATGCTACTATAAAACTGAAATGCTGTAAAGTATGCTGCGTCAAGGAAGTTTATGATATGCTTTGGCTGGAGGGAGGCAAGCGAGCAGTTGTAGAGCTATAAACCTTATCAACTGCACGTGTGTGAGTCTGTAGGTCTGTAGGAGTGTGTTCTGTGTCTGTAGGGGTGTGTTCTGTGTGTGTGTGTGTCTGTCTGTCTGTAGGGGTGTGTCCTGTATGTGTGAGTATGTAGGGATGTGTTATGTGCGTCCATTTAGGCGTGTTCTAATCTAATCTGTGTGTCTACAAAGTGCTCATCATCTGCATACTTGTGAGTCTTTAGGGGCGTGTCCTCACCTGTGTGTGAGTCTTTAGGGGCGTGTCCTCACCTCTGTGTGAGTCTTTAGGGGCGTGTCCTCACCTCTGTGTGAGTCTTTAGGGGCGTGTCCTCACCTGTGTAATTACCGTGTCATTTTTATGGCCCCTCTGTTGGGGGGGTCAAGTGGGACTTGTACGGGGGGAGGTAAGGTAGGGGTGGTACGGGCTGTGGGCGCCAGGGGTGATGAAGGACACAAAATATGTCGACTGACGTCATTACCCGTCATTTTGGTTGTAGAGTTTTCATCGTCTCACAAAAACCTGGCCACATTTAGCCATGTTGAACTTTGACCCCGTCATCAGACACGTGAACAGCTGCTCACACATCTCCTCTATGCTCACATTCAATGTGTTTGTCCGCTGTTATTTCACCTTCAGCTGTTGCGTGCTGTCCTCTTGGCTGTTGGGTAAAAAATAAATGGCTGTTATTGCACGGAAAATATTTCATGTTTGGCGTCGTTTCTTAACAGAGGACAGAATAATGTGGGGATTATATTGGACTCTTATTGGTTTCAGTTTGAGATCACCTGGGTCTAAATGGGGTTAACTTGAATGCAGTTTGAGAACACCTCATGTTCCGTCAACAAGACCCCAAATTACGTTGTATTATTGATCACCATCCATTTGATTGTTGGCTGGTGTTGGTTGAGGCAGGGTTGGCTGGTGTTGGTTGAGGCAGGGTTGGCTGGGCTGGCAGGGTTGGCTGGTGCTGGTTGAGGCTGGGTTGGGTGGTGCTGGTTGAGGCATGGTTGGCTGGTGCTGGTTGAGGCTGGGTTGGCTGGTGCTGGTTGAGGTAGGGTTGGCTGGTGCTGGTTGAGGTAGGGTTGGCTGGTGCTGGTTGAGGTAGGGTTGGCTGGTGCTGGTTGAGGCAGGGTTGGCTGGTGCTGGTTGATGCTGGGTTGGCTGGTGCTGGTTGAGGCTGGGTTGGCTGGTGTTGGCAGGGTTGGCTGGTGCTGGTTGAGGCAGGGTTGGCTGGTGCTGGTTGAGGTTGAGGTTGGGTTGGCTGGTGCTGGTTGAGGTAGGGTTGGCTGGTGCTGGTTGAGGCTGGGTTGTCTGGTGGTGGTTGAGGCTGGGTTGGCTGGTGCTGGCAGGGTTGGCTGGTGCTGGTTGAGGCAGGGTTGGCTGGTGCTGGTTGAGGTTGAGGTTGGGTTGGCTGGTGCTGGTTGAGGCTGGGTTGGCTGGTGCTGGTTGAGGTTGAGGTTGGGTTGGCTGGTGCTGGTTGAGGCTGGGTTGGCTGGTGCTGGTTGAGGCTGGGTTGGCTGGTGGTGGTTGAGGCAGGGTTGGCTGGGTTGGTTGAGGCTGGGTTGGCTGGCTTGGCTGGTGGTGGTTGAGGCAGGGTTGGCTGGGTTGGTTGAGGCTGGGTTGGCTGGTTGAGGCTGGGTTGGCTGGTTGAGGCAGGGTTGGCTGGTTCTGGTTGAGGCAGGGTTGGCTGGTTGAGGCAGGGTTGGCTGGTGCTGGTTGAGGCAGGGTTGGCTGGTTGAGGCAGGGTTGGCTGGTGCTGGTTGAGGCAGGGTTGGCTGGGCTGGTTGAGGCTGGGTTGGCTGGGCTGGTTGAGGTTGAGGTTGGGTTGGCTGGGCTGGTTGAGGTTGACGTTGGGTTGGCTGGTGCTGGTTGAGGTTGAGGTTGGGTTGGCTGGTGCTGGTTGAGGCTGGGTTGGCTGGTGCTGGTTGAGGCAAGGTTGGCTGGGCTGGTTAAGGCTGGGTTGGCTGGTGCTGGTTGAGGCAAGGTTGGCTGTGCTGGTTAAGGCAGGGTTGGCTGGTTGAGGCAGGGTTGGCTGGTGCTGGTTGAGGTAGGGTTGGCTGGTTGAGGCAGGGTTGGCTGGTGCTGGTTGAGGCTGGGTTGGCTGGTGCTGATTGAGGCAAGGTTGGCTGGTGCTGGTTGAGGCAGGGTTGGCTGGTGCTGGTTGAGGCAGGGTTGGCTGGTTGAGGCAGGGTTGGCTGGTGCTGGTTGAGGCAGGGTTGGCTGGTTGAGGCAGGGTTGGCTGGTGCTAGTTGAGGCAGGGTTGGCTGGGCTGGTTGAGGCTGGGTTGGCTGGGCTGGTTGAGGTTGAGGTTGGGTTGGCTGGTGCTGGTTGAGGTTGAGGTTGGGTTGGCTGGTGCTGGTCGAGGCTGGGTTGGCTGGGCTGGTTGAGGTTGAGGTTGGGTTGGCTGGGCTGGTTGAGGTTGACGTTGGGTTGGCTGGTGCTGGTTGAGGTTGAGGTTGGGTTGGCTGGTGCTGGTTGAGGCTGGGTTGGCTGGTGCTGGTTGAGGCAAGGTTGGCTGGGCTGGTTAAGGCAGGGTTGGCTGGTTGAGGCTGGGTTGGCTGGTGCTGGTTGAGGCAGGGTTGGCTGGTGCTGGTTGAGGCAGGGTTGGCTGGTGCTGGTTGAGGCAGGGTTGGCTGGTGGTGGTTGAGGCTGGGTTGGCTGGTGGTGGTTGAGGCTGGGTTGGCTGGTGCTGGTTGAGGTAGGGTTGGCTGGTGCTGGTTGAGGCTGGCTTGGCTGGTGGTGGTTGAGGCTGGGTTGGCTGGTGGTGGTTGAGGCTGGGTTGGCTGGTGCTGGTTGAGGCAGGGTTGGCTGGTGCTGGTTGAGGCAGGGTTGGCTGGTGCTGGTTGAGGCTGGGTTGGCTGGTGCTGATTGAGGCAAGGTTGGCTGGTTGAGGCTGGGTTGGCTGGTGCTGGTTGAGGTAGGGTTGGCTGGTGCTGGTTGAGGCAGGGTTGGCTGGTGCTGGTTGAGGCAGGGTTGGCTGGTGGTGGTTGAGGCTGGGTTGGCTGGTGCTGGTTGAGGTAGGGTTGGCTGGTGCTGGTTGAGGCTGGCTTGGCTGGTGGTGGTTGAGGCTGGGTTGGCTGGTGGTGGTTGAGGCTGGGTTGGCTGGTGCTGGTTGAGGCAGGGTTGGCTGGTGCTGGTTGAGGCAGGGTTGGCTGGTGCTGGTTGAGGCAGGGTTGGCTGGTTGGGGCAGGGTTGGCTGGTTGGGGCAGGGTTGGCTGGTTGGGGCAGGGTTGGCTGGTTGGGGCAGGGTTGGCTGGTTGGGGCAGGGTTGGCTGGTGCTGGTTGAGGCAGGGTTGGCTGGTGCTGGTTGAGGCAGGGTTTGCTGGTGCTTGTTGAGGTAGGGTTGGCTGGTGCTGGTTGAGGCTGGGTTGGCTGGTTGAGGCAGGGTTGGCTTGACTGGTTGAGGTAGGGTTGGCTGGTGCTGGTTGAGGCAGGGTTGGCTGGTGCTGGTTGAGGCTGGGTTGGCTGGGTTGGTTGAGGCAGGGTTGGCTGGTCTGGCAGGGTTGGCTGGTGCTGTTGAGGCAGGGTTGGCTGGTGCTGTTGAGGCAGGGTTGGCTGGGCTGGTTGAGGCAGGGTTGGCTGGTGACATGGTTAGCTCGGCGCTCTAGGTTTGGCTCCGCGCTGGTAATGAGATAGATGAGGTATAGATGAGACGGCGATGAGTTAGAAGATTAAAGAGATGGGAGTGAGATAAGATGAGATCTATTGTACAGGAAATATTTGCCTCATCTAAAGTTCTGGGGGTAAAAAACGTGATCAATGGAGTCGACTCGACAAGGAATTTGTCTTTGTGTGGAGCAATTTGGTGCCTGTCTGTTGAGCTAATCACATCCCAACATAAGGCGGGAGTGATCTCCCCTAAACTTTCTCGAATATACTGATATTAGACTACAAGGAGAGGGAACTCGAGATATAGACATGATTTTTAATCAATTTTTAATTACTTAAAACTTTTTAAAAAAAATAGAATAGAATCTCGTAGGAAAAAAAATTGCGCACCAAGTGAACTGCAAACAATAAGAGATGTGCATTTTTTGAGAAATAGAAAATAGCGTAAAGTACTACTTCCGGTCAACGGAAACTGCTCAAAATTTAATAGAAGGTAGAGAATTAGATCTTTTACTTACATGTGAAATTTCATTTATCTATCTGAAATAGTACTCAAGCTATAGGCTTTTGAAAAATTGAAAGTAGAATAAGTTCCACTTCCGGTTATATGAAATCGCTGAAAAGTTGATACAGAACTAAACATTTAATATAATACTTATATATGAAATTTCATTAACCTAGCAGTAACGGTAACAAGTTATCGTGTTCACAGACACACACACACACACACGTACACACAAACAGACATACGGACTAAACTGCAAAACTATGTTTTTACGACTCAGGGTGGTGTAAAACGTCCAGATTTGTGAAAATCTCGATTTTGCACGATTACAATACTTCCTCTACAGGCCTACTGGGATAAAGTGACAAAACGGGTGACAAACTTGACTGGGACTTTTATTTCTGCTGGTGTAGGTTCGGTTCCTTGTTGGAAAAGGTCAAATATTTTCAAAAATCGTTTTGAAAAGACGATCATCCTGTACTAGACTGCAAGCGATAGACTGACGGTGATAGAATTGAATTGGTAAAACCAAGATTGAGATTTAAAACCACGCTCAAGTGTAAATTTACGTTTAATACCGAATTAAGCTAATTAACCAATTTAGTTTTTCTAAGACGCCAGCAAAATAAGCAATATACATCAACATTTTTTTCTCCAATCTGGTTTAAAACAGTTCGTCGCCTTCTAATTTAGCCTACACATACACACACACACATGGCTTTAGCACACATACACACATACGTTTAGTGCACACACAGACTGACATTTAACACATACACACACATACATTTAGACCACTAGCAGACTTAAGCAATACTCTACATTAATTGATTTTCGTCAATTAAATAAGAAATAGAAAAACTGGTTTAAAAACATGTGATTTTCTTTAAATTGTGAAACAATGATCAACCTGTCGTTACCAGACAAACGTATTGGCCTATTTACGGAAAAACTCGGGATTTGGTCTCTAAAACGTTTGAACAACTTTAAAAATAGGACTATTGTAGGCATATTGAAAGAATTATTTTGAAGTACATAATTAGTAAGATTTGTGTTTGTCTTGAGTGTTTTAGCGGAACTTGAGTTTGTTATCAAAAGTTGGCAAAGAATGGAGTGCCGTGAAGTCAGGGGAGGCAATGCGCTTTTTGACACGGCCAATCAAAGTCTGGGATGTGAATAGAGATGGGGCGTGTATGCGGCGACATACGCGTGGTTACCCCAGGTGAATGCTTTCTGCTGCAAGTATGAAGTCATCAGAGTTAATGCGGTGGGAAGGTTCCGATACAACTCCGGCACGGAGATAGCGTACGTTCTGTTGACGGGGACGCCGTGGGTTTGTCGTGCACTCAAGTTGTCATAATGAGCAATTAAATGGGCGTGGTCAGGGATTGTGACGTTGTTTTCTTTACATTCAGTGGGGGGGGGGGGGAGTCGTTCGCTGGACTGGGGATAATAAAAATATTGTTTGAGAACTTGAAAGGAGTTTAACTAAAGGTTTAACTTCAGATAAAGGTTTAACTTCAGCTAAAGGTTTAACTTCAGCTAAAGGTTTAACTTCAGCTTAAGGAAATTTTTTTACGTTCTCAAGTCTCTGACGAGTTAGGAAGTCAAATGCGCATGCGCATGAAAAGAACAGATCTTACAACGCAACCTGCAACATTTTGCTATCAATTTACTTATTCCTCGATCTTAGTTGCAAAAATTGAAGGGAAGTTTTTCCATCACAGTGAATCACATTACGTGTCGACATACTATGCACCATATTGCCCGTTGACTCCGACTTCAGTCTACTTTTCTTTCTGGGTTTGCTTGCATAGCATTTGTCCAACCAACAACAAACTACAAGGCAGCAGTTGTTTGATTTTGTAGTTGTCTCCCCTAGATTGGTTTGCTGTCCCTAGCCTACGAAGCTCTTCTGCCCGGGGGTTCGGACTCGGGACTTTGGCTCAGACGACCAAACACCACAAGACGGCGGCCATCTTTGCTGAGGTGTGAAGGGGTCAGCAAAACTAAAAATAGCGGACAGCACGGCGGCCACTTGACTCTACACACGACACTCCACAAAGATCGTCTGCAACACAACTCTCCTCCCCACCGGATGTGGTGTGAAGAAAAATATTTTCGCGCGCAACTTTTGACAGCCCCCAATTAAAGGCTTGAATCCGCCTATAGACTCACTCTTCTCACCAGCCCATTCACCCCCACCCCCTCCTGTCTAACTACCTCGCCTCCTATTTGTTGAGAACATCACGTGATCAGAGCTACAAATAAAAAACGTGTCGTATATGCCCAATCAGACATGACACTTGGCAATTTTCTGTAATTACCAGTCACCAGTCAAGTCCAGGAAATTTTTGAGGAGCGAGAAAAAAAAAATACCAGCGTGTTATTCGCAATGAAATAGATAATGTTATATCTGCCTGTGGTGTGTGTGTGTGGGGGGTGTGGGGGGAAACACAACGGGCGCAGGATTAGGGCAGCGATTGGATTACACGAGGAGTGATGGGCCTTGTCTGCTGCTTGCGGTGACGAGGGGATAGAGTTTCACATCCAAGAAATGTGGATTTATTCAATTTATGAACTAGTTGTTTTTTTATAAACCAGAAATGTCATGTTGTGCATTATCTTGTACTGTACGTGCCCATACAGCACAGTGTACTCGATAATTCTCAGCAGCTACCGTACTGGGGTGGTCGTCAGACAATGACACCACCCCCCCCCACCCCCGCTTCCTGCAGCGGTAGTTGTTTAATCCCCAGTCTTAACCTGTTCCGTGCCTTGTTGCAGAAGATAAATGACCGGTTATTTGACCGGTTCGGTACGGCTAGTTGGGGGTCGGGCTGGGGGGAAGGGGTGGGCTGTAGCTAATAAACTTTGGCACACCTGTCCTCGCTACACCTGTAAATGTAAGAGGTAGCCATGTAGCCACTACTGTAAGCTCCCCCCCCCCCCCCCCCCCCGAAAAAATAGTCTTAAATATCAACATGTCTGAATCATAGTATTAAACATGAGAAGTGTCCGGAAATTTTACTGTTAGTTTAATTTGGTTTTCTAGAACTTGCGAACAAGAATCCAGCTGACATTTAGTCAACATTTTTAAAATTATAATTATATTTTTGGTGTCTCCCCGCTTGTATTTGTTGGGCAAATATCACCAGCAGTTATCCAGATAATACGACTATAGCTAAATACTAAACTAAATACCCATTTAATTAGCATGTGACATCGCTTCCTTGAAAAACTGTGACTTTCCTGTGACGTTTTGTGTGACTTATGTGACATATCTCCGCCCAGCAGAAGGCCTAGTTGGCGAGAATCTGATATCCCACAATCCTTGCGTTTCATACCTCCCGCCGATCCAATGATACAACCCGTTGATTCACGCTGAATGTTGACGTTCCGTTGTTAAATTTTCAGATCATTTGGTCTGTGACTTAAACACCTACCGCTGCTGAAATTAAATCCAATCCTTCATTTTAAAACATCTAAAGTTACCAGAAACAATGCATTTTACCAGGCATTCAGTTGGGAAATGCAAAACATTTTCCGCAGAGAAGCGAGATCATAAATTAGGAGATATTTGAGGCGAAAGATGGCGCACTTTGACGGTTGGGACAATTGGTTTGTAAACAGTCTCTTTTCGTCTTTGTGACGCTGCGTCGACAAGTCTGACGCCGCGTCTAACACAGGCTAGAATGTTGCAATCATCTACACAGCATGGGAGTTTTAGATAGGACGGCGAAGATCCTAAATTATCGCGGGTCTAACTTGCTCCACCCTCCCCACTACAAACCTACACAACCTAGCCCAACCTACCCAACCCCCCACTACCAACTTACACAACCTAGCCCAACCTACCCAACCCCCCACTACCAACCTACACAACCTAGCCCAACCTGCCCACCAATACCAACCTATACCAGCAGATATAAGCAGATACACCCATCTGGTCCAACCTGCCCCCCCACTACCAACCTACACAAACTGCCCCCCCCCCCACTGCCAACCTACACCAGCAGATATAAGCTGAGACCAAGATACTGTTACATTAAGTTACATTGTTGACAAGAGCTTAAACCCCGGCAGCTTTAACAAATTTACGACTTTGTAGCGCATTTAACCTCATCCACCATCCGCTATCCACCCGACCATCAACACAAATCCACCCTCACGCCATTCGTCCACCAACCCCTCGCCCACCTCCCAACATCCACCCACACACTATCCCCCACCTTCCACATCCCAACCATCACTACTCTCCACACACCAACCACCAACCGCCTCCCACCTCCCACCCATATCACGACAGCTTTACACGCCCAGCAACATACAACACTGTAGGGGTGGCAAATTTAATCCGGGATGATTCGCCTTAAGATGGCCCTATTACTTGCCTCTCACCTATGTCTGTAGGGGCCACTTACTTCAACCCAGCATCCGAGGGCCACTTGAAATATGAAAGGCCAAGTTTAGGC